GTGTGTGTGTGTGTGTGTGTGTGTGTGTGTGTGTGTGTTTGAGGGAGATGTAGGGAACGAGAAAGAAAGAGACCATTGTCCGTTCTGAAATAAAGAAATCTCCACTGAAGCATTGTAAATGGAAAAGGCAGAAAAATGGACCAAATTCTGGGATCTTGGAGAGAAAGCTGGCCTGTCACATCCCGTCAGAGCCTCACAAAACCTGACACACACACACATACACACACACGCACGCACACTTTACCTCACTGCAGACACATTGTGGCCTTGAGGCTGTGGCTCTCTTCATGAAATTCAAGCCTTTTCCTTCTCAGCATCACAAACTCTGGGATTTGTTCAAGTATGTTTGACTGGGAGCTTGTGTTTTTATTTGTAGTAAAAAAAAAACAGTGCTACATTTTAAAAATTCCTATATTTGGATCCTTCAGAATTTTAAGGAAATTATTTTGTGACCCAGGTGTTTTGAAACAGAAATTTCCTGGTTTTGTCATATTACACAGAAATTTTCTAATCAAATGTGATAAAAAAAATTTATTCCAGCTTTTATCAGAGACCAAATTCAAACTATCCAGTATAACTTTTAAAAACTGGATCAGTAAGAGTGTTTAAAGGTAGAAAACCATCACAATTACAGTTTATCAAGACTTGTTTGTCTTTCAGAGCTGGTTTTATTAGAGCAGAAAGTGTGGCCCAGGGGCCATTTGTGGCCCCTGACTTCAGTTCAAGAATTATACTAATTTGTTATTTTTAAGGCAAATTTATCACAGATGAAGTGAAATTTTATAATAAAAATTATTGGCAACAATACCAATTATTTGTCTTTAAATAACCAGGCTCTTAGCTTTTTCCAAGTAGACACTTCCACTCAAAAGCTGATTTTGCTGCACTCCAATCTGCTTTTAATTAATTTATTAAATTTGTCTGAATACAGCAAGCATTTTAAACAAAAGAGTGGCCTGAATCCTGATTTTATTGATCAGAGTTGACTAAATTGGGTTATTTTTTCCCCAACTGAAACCTAGAAAATTGCAATATTTCTTTCAATAAAGGAAACCAGAGTAAAAACCTATTTCGCTCAGGGATCAATAAAGTATTTTTGAATTGAATTGAAACCTGCAAAACACTTTTAAAGTTTTGGATCTAGATTATTT